CATATCAAAATATGGCGGCCATTTTTGTGAATATTTGTGAGTATTAGTGTAAATATTCTCATTTTTGGCTATTATGATACTTGCTATTTAGGTCTCTTACCCTCAGCAAAATAGCGAGATATTAAATGAATGAAAACCATAAAAATACTAAAATATAATATTTAAAAAAAATGTTAATTATTTTAAAAATAATAAATATATAAATCATTTTAAAAATTATAGATATATAAATCATTTTATTACATAATTATAATATATTAATACTGTTGTAAAAATTATTTTATTATTTTTTTATTATGAAACTATTATTATAAATGTATATAACACATAATTTTTATCTTATAATATTATATTATTATTATATAAAATGTATCAATATATAAATTGGTTTAAATTATAAATGAGCACATATATCTATTATAAATAATAACTATAATTTTTCAATATTAAAATTTTGGAGGTAGGCATTAATTTTTGGGGGTAAGTATTTTTTTTTGAATGGTAATCTTTACTTGTATTATGATGTTTTTAAATCCAATAATTGATAAACCAAATATACCTCTTTAAAAATTAATCATATATTTTTTACAATATTTTAGATCGTTTTTTATAGAAATGAAAATGCGTTATCACACTTAATATAAAAATAAAGTGATTATCAACCAAATGATAAAATGATTGCACTATTAAAATATATATTTATTTCCTATTTTTAGAAAAAGGATAGTAACATATTTATTATAACCTACAAATTTCAAAATCTTTATCTCCTAAGGCTTAAAATATTGTTAATAGAAAGTTATAAGGTTGTATATGGTGGCTTACTGTAATATTCTTTTTATTAATATCACTAATGCATTGTGGATTGGAAAATTTTTCAACCGAAGGGCGATATATTTTAGGGGGTAGGGGTAGATTTTGGAAAGGGGTTTGCATCCATCAAATTTTTTACCATGTAGATGTTGGTTATTGTTATTATATTATAAACATTTATATTACAATTTTACGATTTTCAACTCTAAAATAAAAAAACTCAACATTTACTCCAACAGTACTACATAATATCATTAATTTACTTTCGCCCAGAAATTATTCAGAGACATAGATTGCCACAATATCACTGAAACAAAAAAAAGGATAAATTTTTACAGCAATATATTTTTTCCTATTTTATCTAAAAATTAATAAATAATTTCCAAATATATTTATCCTACCCCAGTGTCTACATGAGCGGGAGGGGTAGGAACAGTTTGCATCCTATTTTTTTGAGAGGGTAAGCTGCTCTTATGGGGGTAGGATAAAAAAAATTTTTGGGGAGGGGGGGTTTATCTATTAAATTTTGAGATGAAATAGGACAAAATTTATTGCTATAAAATACTTTTATTATAGTATTATTATAATACAATTCATCGACCAAATCTATATATTGCAAACAATCATACACATTGTTTCCCAAATAAACTATCCTTTTAAATGTAATTTAAAAGGTTTATATATTTTAGCAAGCTCATAATGCCATAATAATTAGTTCATTGTAAATAATGGAGGTTTTAATTGAATTTATTATCTAAAAAATAAATTCTTTATATTCACAAAATATCGATAGTTGGTAGTAGAGATAAATTATTTAAGTTATCCTTTATAAATTCTTTGAAAAGAGTATCAATAAATAAATAAGTGAAAATAATGATAAAAAGACACCGCCGCCGAAGGTGACGATTTTTTTAGGGGAGGTAGGCAAAGGTTTTTGAAGGGGGTTTGCCTCCAGTGAAAATCCTGTCATGTAGACGCTGTCTTATCCCCAGGAGCCTACCCCTTACCCTGCTCAAAATATTGGATGTGAACTGTTACTACCCCTCCCCATTCACGTAGACGCTGGGGGGGGGGTAAATGTTTTAATATAGCCTTTAAGGATAGTAAGTAAAAAATAATTTAGAGTTGAGATAGGAGGGAATTTTTTTTTTCTTATGGACATAAAAGGAGCAAATCCTAATTTATAGAAAAATTAAAACTAATTAAACTACAATTTTTTCATATCAAAAATATTAAAAATAAATCGAATATTATAAGTTATGTATTAAATATTTTCATTGCCTGTTATACAATCTCCTCTCAAGATTCCCCTAATTTTTAGCTATGGCTATTCTATATAAATGGCGGCGCTAGCTACTAGTGCGCTAAACAGCATAGATTATGGTAGCTATAAAAGTGACGAAACTCGTAAAACAATTTTAAAACATTTATCTCTTACTTGATTAATTAAAATTAAATCAGAATCTTCAGGAACATGTTCTTCCTTGCAAGTTGTGTAAATATCAGCTAATGAAACCCAATAGCGCGTATCAATAGCGATAAATTAAATGAATGTTGATAAATAATTACCTATTTTTACCCATTTTAAATAATATTTTTTAAAATATTAACAAAGTAAAATAATTTATATATATATAAATTATTTTACTTTGTATATTAATATTATAATATTTTATAATTTATAAATTATAATATATAAATCTTTTTAGTATTATAAAACTATTATTTTTCAATAATATTACCCATATAATTTTTATATATTAATATTATAGTGTTTTATAAATTATTAGCATTCAATATTTTTCTATTTTACCTATAATTTTTATATATTAATATTAGCTATCATAAAATTATAAAATATATATTTATATTTAAATTATCTTTATATTCTATGATTATTGTATAATTATAAATATATATTTATTTATATTGAAACTTCAGAGTTTAATTCTTTTGAAAATTATAAAAATATAATTCTCGAAAAGGTCATACGATTATTATAATTTATATATATATCATAAATTATTTTAATTGGTAAATATTTTAATTTATTTTAAATAATATTATAATTTATTTAAATTTATGTTATATTATATTTTTGTAATTTATTATAATAATTATTTAAATTTATTATAATTATTATTTAAATTTACTATAAATATTATTTTAGCTAATATTAAAATATTATTTTAGCTAATATTAAAATATTATTTTAGCTAATATTAAAATATTATTTTAGCTAATATTAAAATATTATTTTTTAATATCTATAACATTCCTCTCTCTGAGAAATCCATTATTTTTGTTGTTCGCGATCGTCGAATATCTTATCGTGCAAATTCCTTCAAATATCCTATAGGGATATGGAGTAAAACATATTTTTAAGGTGGGAGATAGGGAGTATTTTTTTTCTCTCACTAAGACGCGGATAAGAAGCAAATTATTATTAAAAACTGAAAACTAAGTAACCTAAAATGTTTCCCTCTCAAAAATACATACAAATTATATTTAAAATTAAATATAAAAATAAATAGGATATGATGAGTTATGTATAAAATCACTTATTTTTTTAATTAAATTCTTATGTATAATAAATTAAGTGTATAATTTTTACTTAATTTTAAAAAACATATATACACCACTTTAACGTGTATTATTTTTAGGTTAATAATATAAATAACTACTTTATTACTGAAGTATATAATATGCGCGAAAATTATATTTTTAAATTTATGCTTTATATTAACATAATATAAAACTAAAGATTATGTAAATAAAATATATAATATATGGCAAAAGATTTATAAAAATATAAGAAAGCGCGATTTAAGATTGCAATTTAATTAAATTAGAATTATCTAAAAAAACATATACATCCATATTTCGATCATAAAGGGAAGTAAGATTTTGTATTAAAATATTTAATTGAATATATTTACGATTTTTACGATTAACATTCAACCCGCTATTAATCTGAATTAATTTAATCTCAGAAGCGTGTTGATGTCTTTTTAAAATGTTAATTAAAGAATAAATGTTAGGATGGGCACATAACGTTTTTCTTTTGATGCTATGATGATAGCCCTCTAAATGGTTATTTGTTCTAGGACCATTGACTTGATATCTAAATTATAAATTTATTTTGTATATATACATTAATTTTTTAAATACCTAGTCCATATGCTATGGGGAAATAAAGCATTAATGGAAAGCCATGTCAGATCCATATATTGCATAAAATTTAATAGCAGAGGATTTTCAACTGACATGGCAAGACACGATGATCGTACTCGGGAGATATCTTCCTCACGGCAAAAGGGTAAGGTAGTCATACGTCTGACTACTTTGTGAACAGTAGAATTGTCCCTATATTCTACTGTTAAGCCTAATTCCTGACATTTCGCCATATGGCTTGCGAAAAATGGAAGAAACAGCCTATAAAAACTTATAATAAATTTACGTAATAAATTAACCTTTAATCACCATATTAGGAAAAACAAATCCTAGAGCTGATATTGCAGCCGCCTCAAAATCAGTCTGCCCGTATCTAGGATTAAATATGATATTATTCTCGGCGCAGCACCTTAGAATAATTTGAAATAAATCTATATAGGTGGCTCTTGTTTTGTCGGGAAGGAGGGCATATACAATAGGTATCATTGTCTCCTGATACAAGACGTGAATTGTATACAACTGGTAATATAGTCGTGGTACAACGTAAAATGTACCATCCATATATATGGTATCATTATCACACGTTTCTATGAGCTTTAACATGCTACATGTCCCAAATACCAATAGTTTATTATTATTATTATCATCATTATTAATTAAAAATATATCACCCCTATTTGTGGTGATATATTCGGACAATAAAACTATGCTATCTACGGATTGTGGCAAATATGGCCTATTTTTTTGTAATAATCGATCGATGGTACTTTTTAACGAAATAAATGAGGTCATCGCCTCCGGATAGAAATTTATATTTGGGGTTTCCAAAAATCTTTTATTTATGGCTTTCTCATAAATATTATGCCTTGTTTCTAAAGGATTTTCGGCAACTATATCCTCTAGAACCTCATGAGTTCTTAACTTTTCAAAAATATCAATTTCATTTTGATGTTCATGCAATCCAGAAGTAATGTATATAACATCGAATTTGCATGAAGCCTTGCAGCCAACTTTCCTGCAACGATAATGTATTTTATTATCTTTTGATAATCCTGTCGATACAAATAATCTTGAAAAAAAAGAAGCGGTTTTCCTTTTTGAGATTTTACAAACCGGGGATCTTAATAAATAGAAAAATTATATATTAATAAGGGCTCAAACATTAAAGGAAAAATCAGACAAAACAAGATACTTTAAAAAAAATTCGAGCAAATAAATAACTTATCATTTAAAGATATGTTAAAATTTTTTAAAATTATTTCAAGGTCATGCCTAAAAACAATTTAAAAAATCTCTATGCTATATTAATATATAGGGTTATAATATTATGTGACAATATGTATTTAATTAAAGCCATTTATAAATATATTTTTACCATTTATATTTTGATGTAAATCCATTAATACATGGACCACTTCTAAAGGCAGATCCGTATTACCTATAAATATATTTTAGATATTGTAAATTAATGTATAAGATACTTTCAATGCCAACATTTATATCTTGATAAGTTCCTGAATTACCTAGATTTGAAATAAAGGTTTGATAGGCTCTGGCAAAGCCAGAGGTAGTTTGAGGGGCTATTGAAACTTGGGCTAATAATTTTAAGTTAATTTTAATAAAAGTATATTAAAAATACCTTGATGTGTAATAGCTGCAACTGAACTTAAAGGTGGAGGGGCTAATGCTAATGCTAAATCTTTAAATCAATGTTAAAATTATTGTAAGGATATATATATATATATATACATACCTTGATTTGCATTGGAAATTTGAGGGGGTATTGAAACTTGGGCTAATAATTTTAAGTTAATTTTAATAAAAGTATATTAAAAATACCTTGATGTGTAATAGCTGCAACTGAACTTAAAGGTGGAGGGGCTAATGCTAATGCTAAATCTTTAAATCAATGTTAAAATTATTGTAAGGATATATATATATATATATAAATACCTTGATTTGCATTGGAAATTTGAGGGGCTATTGAAACTTGGGCTAATAATTTTAAGTTAATTTTAATAAAAGTATATCATAAATACCTTGATGTGTAATGGCTAGGCCAACTGAACTTGAAGGTGGAGGGGCTAATGCTAAATCTTTAAATCAATGTTAAAATTATTGTAAGGATACCTTGATTTGCATTAGGAGTTATGGCTGCTACCAAGTTTTGACATTCTAAAGAATGTTGGATGGTGATAATTAAATCGAGACCAATCATTAATTTGGCTCTACCACCACATCTTTTGCGACAAGTAAGGTAAACGGCCTTTTTACCACTTGTATGGGCCAAATATTCATGCCCTTAGTAGCATATATAGTCCTTTTTCTTCTGTTTGCAGAAAACAAAAAAAAATGGTTTATTACTTTTATTTCAAGTTGTTTATATTTAAGATAATTTTTAAGATTATCAGCTACAGTTGGAATCATATCAAAAATATGGCGGCCATTTTTGTGAATATTCTTCTGAGTATTATTGTGATTATTCTCATTTTTCGCTATTTTGATGCTCGCTATTTAGGTCTCTTACCTTCGGTACGAAAGAGCGAAAAGCAAAAGAGCTAAAAAAATATAATATTTAAATATAAATAGAAATTGCTAAATGGTAATTAATATTTATATTAATACAAGAACAGTATATACTAAAAATAAATTGCAGATAATTTACAATATTTTGGCAAAGAGACAGCACAAATATATTATATATATCTTTGATATAATATTAATTATATCAAATATCATAATAAAAATTTTAATCAATATATAAAAATGAATCTATTTTTTTGCATAATAAAGTATAAATTGAATTAAAATAAATTTGATAACTCATTAAATTTTATAATAAATTAAATAGCTTTTATTTTGTAATCTAATACAATATATATTAAGTTATTTATATGAAATTTTAATGAATACAATCAAACATCTATAAAATATTTGAAGTATATCTTTAAGCTCAGAAACAGAAGAATTAACAATACCATGGCTCAAATGAAATATAATGTGAACGATCCTGTTCAAAATTTATGGTTTTAAGACTGTTGTATTTCATTATTAAATTATGATGAATATTATAAATGATACCTAAAGTAAAGATCCTTAAATATTATATATTATTTACATCACTATAAAATATATAATATCTTATCTAATTTATTTATTTATTTTTAGTGTAATTATTTGAAAATTCCCTAATATTTTTTTAATAACATTGAGTAAGATAACCATAAAATCTATTTTTTGTGAACCAAAGGAAATGTTGAACTCTTAGTCGACTTTTTAGTTTATAGAATAAGCATAGAGTTGGGGAGGTCCTACGGAAAAAGAATCTAGATACAGATATAGATTCTTGATGAAAAAAGGAATTTTAGAATCTTTTTCAAAATGTCAAAAAGATACAAGATAAAGATACAAAAGGATCTTGTATCTTAGATACAAAATTGTATCTTAGATACAAAAGGATCTTGTATCTTAGATTATTTGCGGTACTGCCCAACTTTGAATAAGCAATATATTACTTTCTCATTAAATTAAATTTTATTTACCTAATATTTAAAAAGATATATCCTGAAATAAAATTAGTTCATAAGTTTTAACTTACCTATTTTCCGATATTGTTACAATTATAATAATAACCATAAATCCTATTTTATAGTTGGATTTCTTAACTCTATCATATAATAGTCGTCTTTCTAACTATTCAAAAGTCTGACTTTTAAAACTTATTCTATTATTTATGTGGCACGCTAATAATAATTTTAGGGAATCATTTATTATTAATATCATATATAAAATTTTAATCTTTTGTAAACTCTTTTAAAAATAATACATTTCGATCGCGATTATAATAATTAAACATTTGTATTGCGATATATAAATATGACTATTAAAAATGAAAAGGAGGTTTAATGCATGTTAACTATATAAATAAAATATCAGTGACGAAACAATGATAAAGTTTATATAACAAAAATATAATAACTATAAATTTTGAAATTGACGTATACCACTTCAGGCAAACCTGACTATAAATATTTGGATTAATAATAATGTTATCCTTTATTGACATTATAAAACAATTTAGTTAGATAATAGAAGAAAAATTACTGTGATTTGATTTTTTTGAATTTAAAGATATTTTATCTAAATATTCCATAACTTCTTTAATCTTCATAGTTACTTGAATTAACTAACAATATTTTTGGGAATCAATATTAAAATAATTTACATTATGTTTAAAAATCTATAAAATTAACTATAAATACATTTAAAATATTAAATAAACTTATAATATATTTAAAAATTTTTTAAATTAACTTACTTAGAAATTTTGGGAATCAATATTAAAATAACTTACATTATATTTAAAATATAAAATTAACTAAAATATATTTAAAATTTTAAATAAACTTATAATATATTTAAAATTTTTTTAAATTAACTTATTTAGTGAAGAGAACAAGAATTATGGTGAGCGTAAGTAAAAATATATTTTATTATTATCATCTTTTTATCTTCGTACACACACTATATATATATTATCTGAAAATATAAATTAGAATACATATAATCAAAACGAAAAACAAAAAGTAATAATAGGTAAGGTTATAAAAATTAGATTACAAATATAAATTTCTAAACGAAAAACAAAAAGTAATAATAGGTAAGGTTACAAAAATTAGATTATAAATATTATAAATTTTGAATATATAACATTTAGAAATTTTGGGAATCAATATATAAATAACTTACATTATATTTAAAATATAAAATTAACTATAATTATATTTAAAATATAAAATTAACTATAAATATATTTAAAATATTAAATAAACTTATAATATATTTAAAAATTTTTTAAATTAACTTATCCTGAATTCATAGTGGCGCGATTGCGATTGCGATTTAGACGCGATAAATACAAAATACAGTAAATATGATATCGCATTTATAGTTACCGATCGCGCGATTTGATACGCGAAAGCAAATCGCTGCGATTTTTTCAAAACACAAATTATTTTGTGTTTCGCGAGATTTTGAAATAGTGCTTCGTTAAATACAGATTTTGATGAATATAGCTCAAAATATTTGATTTTGCGCTACTTTTAAATTTAGCGCTAATTTTTTATTAATTGAAATGCATTCAATGACAACCTTTTTTGATGATATAAAACCAAAGGATCAAATTAAAATTATGATTTAAATTTTTTTTTTTTTAGAAAATAAATAAATTAGCTTTTACGAATCTATCTATATATATAATCCTCAAAAAATGTCAATCAAATTTAGCCAATAGTTTTCTTTTTAATATTATTTGTCCAATCTAAATGATTATAGCAGTCACAGTCACAACTGTGACATTATATAGTCAATTATTTTACCTGATAATAGTCAATTATAATTTTGTTAATATATTATGTAATATTCAACTTCTTTATTAATTATTGGACGTTTGTCCTACTTAAATAGCGAGTAATTCTTAATAATATTTAATTAATATTAACAAATTCGGAAGTATTTAAGTTATGTTAAATTGTAGTTTTAATCTCCATGATATTTAGCGCCATCTATAATATTATATTTTATTTTAAATAGCATTATATTTCTAAGTTGAAATGTAAATATTTGGTCTTAATTGATATCAAATATATTGTTCTTTCTATATATCTATAATTTATCTATCTACCTATCATAGCAATTTTAAGCCAATTTAGATCATATTAGCAAAATGGATTTAATCTCCTATAAATCATGGAAAGCATTTCAGAAGTATTTTGAGGCAATAGGCAGGAAGGAACATTAGTATGAAAAAATTTTTTGCAGATAATCCTACAAGAGCTAAGGAATTCAAATCTATAATATATATATTCAATAAAAATCATCATAGCTTAAACATATCAAACACGCATTCATAAACCAAATCGAACCGCCATTTTCAAAAAAAGAATTTCAATACAAAAAACAATTACAAAACATATAATAATATAATAATTACAATAATTGATATTTTTTTTAACAGACACAACATCGAGCAAAACCTTCAATCATCAGTAAATAATTATATTTTTTAACAGACACCACATCGAGCAAAACCATATACTTTCAATTTACACATCTTAATCTTGAAGATACTGAAAATCAAGAACAAGTTGAACATTACTGTGGGCCATTAAAATCTATTTTATTATTTTTTTTTAGATTCCTACACAAGATACCATTCAACAAAACCAAACAATGGAACGTTTTATACTACCAAAATCTAAAGAAGGCATTATTGCTTCAACAAGAGTAAATTTTATATTTTTAAGATGTGATTCCGAAATATATATTTATTAGGTGAGGGGCAATTCTAATATTTTCCATTATTTTTTATAAATATGTTTATGAAGTATATATTTAGTAATTTTATTTTATGTCCACAATAATAAATATTTTAAACTAAACTTATTTTTATAAAATTGAGTAATTCTTATATTTTTAAATTTTAATAATAAATCAACATAAGGAGAAAGCTAGAAAGAGACAGGCACTTTGTCGTATCAACAAAAGGAACGAACAAAGTCTTATTCCTACAACATCCAACCATCTTGAAGATACTGGAAATAAACAATTTGCTTCAACATCCAATCATTTTGAAGATACTGAAAATCAAGAACAAGTTGAACTAAAAATTAGATTGCAAATCTTTTATTGCTGATAAGTTTCAGCAGATAGAGGAATTATTATAATTGCCTTCCAAAAATTAAAAATACTGTGGGCCATTAAAATCTATTTTATTATTTTTTTTAGATTCCTACACATGATACCATTCAACAAAACCAAACAATGGAACGTTTCATACCACCAAAATCTAAAGAAGGCATTATTGCTTCAACAAGATTAAATTTTATATTTTTTTTAATTTGTATTGTATGTTAGCTGATCAGATTTTTCCTATCTTATAAGATGTGATTCCGAAATATATATTTATTAGGTGAGGGGCTATTCTAATATTTTAAATTATTTTTTATAAATATGTTTATGAAGTATATATTTAGTAATTTTATTTTATGTCCACAATAATAAATATTTTAAACTAAACTTATTTTTATAAAATTGAGTAATTCTTATATTTTTAAATTTTAATAATAAAACAACATAAGGAGAAAGCTAGAAAGAGACAGGCACTTTGTCGTATCAAGAAAAGGAACGAACAAAGTCTTATTCCTACAACATCCAACCATCTTGAAGATACTGGAAATAAACAATTTGCTTCAACATCTAATCATCTTGAAGATACTGAAAATCAAGAACAAGTTGAACTAAAAATTAGATTGCAAATCTTATATTGCTGATAAGTTTCAGCAGATAAAGGAATTATTATAATTGCCTTCCAAAAATTAAAAATACTGTGGGCCATTAAAATCTATTTTATTATTTTTTTTAGATTCCTACACATGATACCATTCAACAAAACCAAACAATGGAACGTTTCA